ATTTTGTTCTTGTATTTTCTTCCAAAATTCTTCTAGGGTTTTGTCTGTGTTTTCCTTGATTTGTCTCTCAATCCTTTGAACATGTACTTAAATCTAATTCTTTTGAATTCCTTATCAGGGAGTTCCAATGCTGCTTCTTCCTCAGGGATGTGTTCTGGGTCTGTAATCTGCTCCCTTGTTTCTACCACTTTATCTTGCTTCTTTGTGTGGAATGTGATGGTCTGTTGTCTCTGAAACATTGTAATGTTGTTGTATTTAGATCTCTGTTGATTGTTTTTGAAGAGCAGCCAAGGGTGAGTAAGTCTCTTCTTGGTGGTTGTTTCTCATTGGCCCACTGGTGAAGGACGTGGTGCCTCTCACTCAGTAAGTGAAGCTGCAGGAGGTGTGGGTGTAGTTGTGTCATATAGGAACTGTTGCTGTCTCCCACCCAGTTAGACAAAAATAACAACTGAATACCCATCAGAAAAGTGAAACCCAGTGAACAAAAAAAACACTGTGTAATCACACAGGAACAATAACCAAAAAGAAAAAAAAGGGAAGAAAAAGGGGTAAAAATCCCCACAATATCTAGGGAGAGGGGAATAAGAGAAAAGTGGTAGAGTAGGACAATAATGAAGGAAAAAAAAATGGGAAAAACACAAAAGGAAAAACAAGGAAGAGAGTTAACCATGGGAAAAAAAAAAAAAATTGGAACCAGCAAAAGGGAAAAGAGAAAAAGCTTAAAACTATTCTTCCCTTCCAGGGAAGAATAGTTTTAAGCTTTTTCTCTTTTCCCTTTTGCTGGTTCCAATAATAATAATAATAAAATAATAATAATAAAAAGGACAAAAATTATAATAATAATAGTAGCTTGAAAACAGACAAAAAAAAAACAAACCTAAAAAAAAAGGGAAAAAAAAAAATTGGGGCTGGGTAGGGCAGGGCACCCAGGCTCCATCTGAGCACACAGAATGGGATAGAATTCCTGCCAGCCTGGAAGGTGGGTGGGAGTGAGGGATGGCCATACCTCCATTCACCAAGAGGGTGTGGGGTCTAAGAGTAACAAGGGAAATATCAAACCTTTCCAGTCGTTGGTGTCTGGAATGTCTTTGTGGTAGAGCCTATTCTTAAGTCCCTGGAATCTGGGAGAACACTGTCACTTTAAATATCCAAAATGGTTGAACCGCCTGTAAACATTCAAAATGGCTGTGCCCTCCAGAGACAGAAATGTCC